AAGAAGAAATGGAAAGGGTGATTGAGAATTGAGCATCTGTTAGAACCATCTCCTTTCAATTTCCATGTTGCTTCATCCAGAAACAGCGTAAATGATGCAGACACACTGACAGGAAGCTCCCTGTTTGCTCCATATCAGAGCTCAGACCTGATGTGGTGTGTGTACTTCCAGTATTGGAAATTCCTTCCATGTCCTGCCCTAACTGTTGACTCATTTTGTGGAAATGAGAATTGTTGGGAGATCACTGTCTTAACTCAGTGAATTGACAAGAAACTAGGCCAATGAGAACCAAAGGAAGACAAAGTGCAGGCGCGGGTAAGGTAGCTGCTTATGGCAGCAACAGATGGGGCTCATCAATGTAGAATTTGTCTATGAGACTGTCATTTCATGTTCTCCTATGTCACCTGTGTCTCCATGAGGCTCATGATGTCATGGAAGAAACCCATCATGCATTTTTTTTTTTTTTTACGGTACGCGGTAGGCCTCTCACTGCTGTGGCCTCTCCTGTTGCAGAGCACAGGCTCCGGACATGCAGGCTCGGTGGCCATGGCTCATTGGCCCAGCCGCTCCGCGGCATGTGGGATCTTCCTGGACCGGGGCATGAACCCGTGTCCCCTGCATCGGCAGGCGGACTCTCAACCACTGCGCCACCAGGGAAGCCCCATTCTTTTATTGTTACTTCCATCCCTAGTCCTTTAGCTAGGAATCATGTAATTTTAATTTTTCTCCAAGAGAATGCCCATCTGGTCAGATTTCATACAGTACTCAGTCTTTGTTCTCTATTATCTACAATTAATTATAGAAAATATTTACATTTCAACAATTTTAAGGACAATTCATTTACTCTTTTTTTTCAATCTAGTCAAATTTTATTTCCATTTTGTGATGTTTATCACAATTGAGAAAATCCTTGGTCCTTTCTAAATCAAGATAAAAAGAAACACATAATAAGGTACTACATTATATAGATCTCATCAAGAGAGTTACTGTTTAATCCACTGACTGTGAAAAATTAGCTTTACATACATTTTTACCGGTATCCCAGCAGAAGTACAGACCTTTTCATATGACCTTTGAACAAATAAGAGCCTCAGAGCCCAGCCACAGATTTTTGGTTTTATATAATATATGGACCTAAGTCCTAGCTCTGTTTCCGACCACAAATTCCCTCATGGCTCCTGGTGTGTTCTTCTGGCTGCTGATTTCACAACAAGAACATCAGCACTTCAAGGACACAGTGTCTCCTTGATTCGTCAAGGGACCCTGCCCTGGCCTGGCTTCCTGATGGCATCCACATTGGTCACTGTCCTCACATCGGTCACTGTCCTCTCCTCTCATTCCACTCCACCCCGCTTTTCCAGATGTTCATGTATTAATACTTGCCAGATCCTTGCTATTATTGCTCTTTGGGGCCCTTTCAGAATATGAAGTGGGTAAGTTTACAGTTTAAACCTTACGGGTTTTGAATTTTCAAGTTGTGAACTTAAACCTTTTGGTGATTACTCTTGTCCAAATGCAGCTTCCTGCCCTCATTGGAAAAAAAAAAATCGTCTCCAAGGACATTTGGACATGAAGTAGCTCTTGCAAAAGAACATATTGTTGGTGACTTGAGTGTAAAGAAACCAGAACCATATGGATTACATTTGCTTTTAAATGAGCATGGTCTTTAAAATGAAGGGAGTGAATGAATTATTTGGTAATATCCAGTTGAGAGGTGGTCAGTATTAAAGTATTTGAACAGTAAGGCAGAGCACCAGGCCTGCTTTCAGGATTCTCCATCCCCAAGCAGCAGGGAGCTTCTGTATTTGGTTCTGTTGAGGCCAATCCCCAGCTGTGAGACCTGTTGTGCAACGCAAATACTGGCTTCGGTTGGGAGACCGCCGCTGTCCAAAGACATTATTGAGTGGATTGAGTGGTGGGTATTAAACATTCGAAGCAATTGTAGTATATTAGCTGCCAGCCAGTCTTTGTAAATAGAAATCCTACCTAAGTGACCGTGGGCAAATCCCTTTGCTGTTCTGGCCTATCTCCTCATCTGAGTGAACATTAAATAAGAAAATGTACGTGAAGTGCCAGGTTCAGACCTGAAACATTTGTGACTGTGCAGATTTATTCGATTCCTCAGTAGAGAGAAAAGTGAGTTTTTAATCACTGCAGCAGAAAGAATGACCATAGACTTTCTTGTATCAGGCCCAATCTGACATAGATGTGTGTTTTCAAGTTCGACACAATGTGTAGAGATTGGTCAGTGATCTGATTTTAAAAGCATCTTCAGATCATGAGGTGGGGCTTGCCAGCTTTCTCTTTAGGTATCATCAGTTGTTAGTTTTCCTTGGATTTTTGTCACCAAAAAGGCAAACCAGAAACAAGGAGGGAAGAAATGCCAGAAATAGGATGAAGTCATCCAAAATATGTGATACTGTTTCACAAATACAAATATCTTAGAATCAACAAGGACAATCTTCTAGAGGATGCAAAATCACAAAAAGGCGATCAAAACATCTGTGCAGAGTTCTAAGAGGAGGCAGACGGACCTGGGGTGGGTATGGGCTGATGACATGGCCTATCTTTATGTTTCAGATGTTTGGTAGAAGTGAAGTGAAAATCTAAATTTGAAATTACTAAGAATTATTGAGTAGTCCTTAAGTGCAGGACAGTGAGCTAGCTGGGGTGGGGAATGCAGGCACTGAGATGAGCCAGCCAGAACCTGCAGTCAACAGACAGAATTCAAGACAGTACTGGAATAACAGCACCATCATATTATTCATAACCTGCCATCTGGCCCTGTGAAGAAAATGAAAATCTTTCTTCTATGTCTAAACTTGTGCAGAGTTTGCAGCCTTTTTGAAATCTGGTCTGATGCATACCTCTGTCATTCTAAAACAAGCCCAGGTCCCCAGGAATAGGGACTTTAGCTGGCCCAAGAGCATTCTCACACCCTTTGTTTCTTGGTCACTTTCATAACCTCCATGGCTCTTTCACAGTCACTGCAGACTCAGCATGTGTATCAGGTGATGCAATATTTCTTTCGGCCACCCAACCAGGTTCCTTCTGTCTTCCTTCTCTTTGTCATTATACTACAGTCTCCCACTGACCCAAGTAGGTTGCCTTAGAACTATCGTAGATCATTCTTCTGCATCATTCCCCATTATACTAAATTGCCACATCCTGATGACTTTTTTTAAAGTGTTTTATTGAGATATAATTTACATATTGTACAATTTGCCCATTTAAGATGTACAATTCAGAGGTTTTTAGGATAGTTGTATATGTGTGCAACCATCACCACAGTCAATTTTAGAACACTTTCGGCACCTCTAAAAGAAACTGTTCTCTTAAGCTATCACCTCTGTACCTTCCCATTCCTGTCCCTCCCATCCCCCAGCCCTAAGCAACCACTACTCTTTGTGTCTCTATAGATTTGCCTATTCTGAACTTTCATATGAATAAATCATGCAGTATGTGGGTTTTTGTGACTGGCTTCTTTCACTTAGTCTGATGTTTTCAAGTTTCATCTGTGTTGTAGCATATATCAGTACTTCCTTCCTTTTTATGGCCAAATAATATTCCATTGTCTGGATATACCACATTTTGTTTATCCATTCATAAGCTGATGGACATTTCAATTGTTTCCACCTTTTGGTTGTCATGAATAATGGTGTTATAGACATTCGTGTACAACTGTTTGTGTGTATATATGTTTTAATTTTACTCAGGCATATATTGAGGAGTAGAATTGCTGGGTCATATAGTAACTCTGAGATTAATCATTTGAGAAGCAGCCAGACTATTTTCCAAAGTAGATGTACCATTTTCCTTTCCCACCAGCAGTGTAGGAGGGTTCCATTTTCTTTACATCCTCTCCAACTCTTGTTATTGTCTATTTGATTCTAGCTATCCTGTTGACTTTCAAACATTGTTTTTCTCTGAAAAAAGGTAGCATATTTCTTGCTTAGACTTTTTTGTCCCTTCCCAATATCACCACCCTAGTCTAGAATTTCATCACCTCATGCAGAATTCTCAAGTCTAAACTGCTTTCTTTTCTCCCCTTTCCGAATTACACTACCTAACCCTGCCAAACTCTATATGAGAAATGTATGTTAACCTATGTTCAATCTTCCTCAAATCCCTTCAGTGACTTCTAAGTTCCTGTCACACCAACTCTGAACCACTCTTGTTGGCTTTCCAGGTATCCCTGAAAAATCTGGCCCTACCTATTCACCTCACCACAATCTCCCCTCTCCCTGACCACAGCTTTAGGCAGATGCCACCCTCCTATGAGCAGTGATGTTGCTGCTCAGTGTTGCCACCTGGGCCTTAGAGTTCTCACTGTGAATGTCCTCTTTTTTCTTCCCCTTGACCAAGAAATACCTCAGCTTCTGAGAAGTCTTCTCTGAGTCTTTACCCTTCCTTCCCCTGTCCAAGAGGTGGGTGTGGCTAGTCATGTGTCCAACATGTAGGCCAGACATGTACTTTCTCCCTGGAATCTGAGCCAAGTGATATTAGGATTGAAAAATGGTGACAGTGGTCTCCTACAAAGACTCTTCATTCATTCCTATTACGTAGATCCCTGACTCAGCCTTGAATTCCTGTCCCATGCATGATCTGATTCTCTCTTTTCTTTTTCTTTTCTTTTCTTTTTTTTTTTTTTTTTTGCGGTACGCGGGCCTCTCACTGTTGTGGCCTCTCCCGTTGCAGAGCACAGGCTCCGGACGCACAGGCTCAGTGGCCATGGCTCATGGGCCTAGCCACTCCGCAGCATGTGGGATCTTCCTGGACTGGGGCACGAACCTGTGTCCCCTGCATCGGCAGGCGGACTCTCAACCACTGCACCACCAGGGAAGCCCTCTTTCTTCTTTTTTAACATCTTTATTGGAGTATAATTGCTTTATAATGGTGTGTTAGTTTCTGCTTTATATCTAACTCTTTTCTTGAGGCTATAAGCTATCCCCTTAAATTACCAACACATTCCTTTTCATTTGCTTATTTGCCTATATTAGCCAAAGCCACACTTTATTGATTAAACCTGACAATCCTGACGGATCCATCAAGCACAATAGCACTAGTATGAATGTTTCTTCAGCCCTTGCTATGGACCAGGCACTGTGCAAATCTCTTCATCTAGATGATTTCAGTTAATCTTCGCCTATCACCCTCTGAAGTAAGTAGCATCTTGTCTCCTTTTTATGCATGAGGAAATTGTATCTTTGAGAAGGCTGAAAACTGTCCCAGGGAGAAGCTGATTAATGGAGGAGCCAGGTTGGTGCTTGAATATGTGCCCTTCGCTATTGTGCAGTAAGCCCTCTCATGCCATCGGCCTGGCAGCCAGTGAGGGCTCTTCCCCGCTGAGTGCCTTATACATTTGTACCTTCTTTGCTTTGAGGAGAATTCACATTTCTCTGATGGCTCTTCATCACCTTCTGTCTTGTATTATAATTATTTGGGTATGTGTCTTAACTTCCTTAGCCCAGAATCTAGTATGTATAAGAGGTAATCAATAAGGATTTCTGAAAGGATAAGTAAATGTAGAGTTGCATCTAAAGAAGATCTAGTGACATTTCCAGTTCTAAGGAAAGAAGGAAACCGCTTTGGAGAGGTTAGTAGAGGAAACTTGCCCTGGCAAAGACGGCAGCAGCTACGCTTTTCCCATATTTATAATTTCTTCTTTTAAAAAGTATGTTATTATAAAATACTGATCTCCGTTCCAGTACTTTACACACAAACCTTTAATAGTAGACTGGTTTTGGTCACCAAGGTTACTTTAATTAAATTCAGTAGTTAGCAAATACTTGTGGCAAAATTTCTCTCGAGCTATACCATTGGCCAGTGGAGCAAACTGCTTTTTACCAGGGTCTCTCTGCTGAGATGTTTTCTCCTTTTTTTTTTAAGAAAAACCCAAAAAACATTTTATTTTTCTTATTTTCGTGTTGCTTCTCCTAGACTTTCATTATGGTCCAGCTGAACCAGCTGCTGCCCCTCTCCTTGTAAACTTCAGGTTACATCCCGGAAGAACTGGAGGAGAATCAGTTTCCCATGTAGCAGCTATTGGAGGATGGGTAAGAACAGAGGGAGGGGATAGAATGATGCCAGGCTGGCTGGCTGATCCTGGGTAGAATTAAGCAGGATGGCAAAGACCAACATAAATGATGCCAGTAGTAACATTGTCATGTTCCCACAAACTGCATGAGTTGTCTAATTGAGGCAATTTTTTTAAACTTCCACAGAAAAGATGTAAAATCTAACTTGTCCTTTTAAATATCATCAGTTGCTACTGTTTACTGTCTAGGCTTCAGTGGTTAAGACTACTGTCCCCCTTATAAGGGCCAAGGAACACAACATTTGTATGTTTCTTGCCCCCTGTGGTAATATAGAATACTGTAAGCTGCCGCTTTCAGATGAACTATGTGATAGAAAGCCAACTTGACCCCTGCAGATAGTGGAGCTGATACTGTAACTGGAGACAGAGGAGAAAGGCTGAGACAGACCATGCAATCAGATAACTTCAAGGAAGGATGAGATCAGTTCAAGAAGATCAACATGCAGAATGAAAGAATTGAAAATAAGAAGTTACCTGCATTTCAAAAAGTGAGTATATTCTGTGCACTTGAAAATTTTTGTTTCTTTGAAATGTTCTTTCCCAATATTAATAAATAAGCAGAATGGTTCTGAAGATGCAAAGAGAGTTGGTAAAGGAAGTTAAAAGATTAGGTAGAAAGGCTTCTGTGACAAAAAAGGTTTTTTTAAAGACAACACATTTCTCTAATATAATGTGTTCGTGGCAAGGCAGAAGTATCTGAACATCTCTTTTGTAAGATTGGATGCACCTGCACCTTTCAAACAGCATGGCAGACTACGTGCCTCAGTACGGCTCTAACAATTTTAATTCTTGCTAACTCAAGCCTATCTGAACAGTCAGGAAAACTAACCTGAGTCCCAGAAAGAAAAAGACTGTTGGACGCAATGGTGAATTTATAACTATGCTGAAAATGGGGTAGGGTAAAGTGAACCTTACTATCTAAACCCAAAAGCTTTAATAACCTGCAATGTCCATCAACAGTCAGCCTTATAATAGGAGTTATAAAGCCACCGGATAATAGTTGGAAAACTGGTTATGTAGTCATAGCCAAAAAGCACAGGAAATCATAGACCGTTGGTTTTATCTTGAAAGACAGATTTGATTTGTATTTGAATGTGTCAGTTAAATACAATAATTTCATCTTCCCCAGGTTTCTAGTTTTTGGAAATTATTCTTGATCTTAGTAATAACATTCTTGAAGCAGATTCTATGCTAGTGGATGTAATTTCCATGGAAATAGAGTGGAACATAGAGGAAAAAGCAGAACTGTTTAAAATTGTTCATCAAATTTGCAGTTCTTTTCTTTAAACAATACCTTGTAATTTATCGGGTATGGCCGGAAAACACGCTGCTCTACTCAAATTTTGTAGGCAAGAACCAAGAAAACTTTTTATTTTCCAAACTCTTAACTATTTCTGTGAGGAAATCTTAACATTTTCAGCTTCCTTAAGCCAAGTAGACAGAATATAGCTAAACCTTTTTTGACTTGGATGTGGATGACTCAGGGTAATCATGTTGAATATCTGGAAGGTAGAGTAGTGATATATTAGAAAAAGCACAGGATCAGGAGATCTGGTTATAACAAATTAACTCTGTTACTTCGACAAATCACTTCATCTGGGTCTTGATCTTCTCACATTTAAAATTAGGGGTTGATTTCTAAGGTTCTCCAAGAACTGAAATCCTTTACTTCTGAAGTCAGTTATGGTCTTATGCTCAGAAGCTATGTGCTGTAGCTAAATCCATGTCCTTACCTGCCTTAAGCCTTCAGCACATCTAACACAGCTGTTCACTCTCTGCTTCTCAAAACACTTCATTACTTGGGTTCCAGGGCTCTACACTCATCTTATTTTCCCCTTCACTGACATCCTCTTTCCTGTGTCCTTTGTTGAATTTTCTTCATCTTACAAAAGTCTGAATACTGGAGTGTACAATCTCCTCTCCATGCATACATCTTTCCTAGATTATTTCACACACTTACATGGCCAAAGCCATAAAAAGATCCCAACTATTGATAACTCCCAGATGTATATGTATAATCCTCATGTCTCCCCTAAATTCCAGACGGCCTACTCATTATCTCCATTTGAGTATCCAATGGGCATATCAAAATCGATGATTTAAACAGAACCCTTGATTTTCCTTCACATGCCTAATCCTTGCCAAGAATTATGGTTGTGAATAAATGGCTCTTCCGTTTATCCCGTTTCTCAGGTCAGAGCTTTGGAGTCAGTCTTGGCTCGTCTCTTTCACTCATATTCCACACGTCCTCCATTAGCAGATCCTTTTGACTCCACTTTCAAAATATAACCAAAATCTAACCACTTCTCAGCACTTTCAACTGATACTATCATAGTCCAAGATACCATCATGTGTTGTTGCCTTGAGATGGTCTTCTAACTGGTCTCCATCAGCAGCGGAGTGATCCTTTCAAAACAGAACCTGATTACATCCTTCGCCTGCTTGCAACCTTGCACTGGCTTCCTGTCACAAAGAGAAGAAAATCCGGAGTCCTTACCTTGCCCTGGATGATCCAGCCCCGGCAGCCCACTGCTCCATCTCCCCTCGCTTCTCACTCTATTCCAGCCACATTCCTTGCTGTTTCTCAAACGCAGTGAGCACACTCTTGCCTCAGGGTCCTTACTGCTCCTTCTGCCTGGAATGCTTTCCTCCCAGATCTTTGTACGGTTGCTCTCTCACTTGTTCAAATGTTACTTCTTCAGAGAGATCTTCTCTAGCTGTTCTAAAATGACAGCTGCCCCACTTCCACCACTCTCTTCCTTTACTGACTTCCTATTTCTCTAAAACATATATTACTACCCAATATTATTGATTTGTTTGCTTGTTTACTGTCTATTTCCCCTGACAGAATGTCATCTTCTTGAGGTCAGGACTTTGGCTGTTCTTTTCACTGCTACGTCCCTAGTGACTACAACAATGCCTGACATTCAGTAGGAGCTCAATAAATATTTGTCAAATGAATTATGAAGGTATTGAACTGTTTGCATGTAACTTAATTTGTTCCAGAATATTTGCAAGCATGATGTTTGATGGGTCTGTAATCTCCTTACTTCTCAGGGTGCTAGCTTCTATTCCCACCCCTACCATTTTATAATCTGCTGCTCCTCATGAACTATGTTTATAACCTACAAAAAATTCCAGGGTTTCCAGGGGAAGCTAGATAAATAAACTTGTTAGGACAGTGAGATTCATTTTATGTACGATGCTGTGTTAATGGGTCCTGTCTGTGGCAATGTGGAAAAAAGTGACTTGAATGGGAGCCAGAAACTTGGAGCTCTAGTAATTACTCCTCCACCAAGCAGCTGTGTGATGCAGGCCAGTCACATGGTTTCTCGTCCCCTCCTCTGTCTCCAGGCCCTGAAGATATCTTCATATGGCTGCTGGCTAGCAGAGCACCTAAATCTGTGACACCTATTTTTATCACAACTGGGAGATAGTTTTCTTGCGTTTGGATTTTGCGCTGAGTGAAAGATGTGTTGGCTTGAAGTGATGTAGTAGTTGATTTTAGTTCAAGAATCTTATATTCCTTCACTAATTTTATAAAAGATTTATTAGGCATATACTATGCCAAGTCATAAAATAGGAATTGTAAATAAAGTGGTGAATAAGACAGTCTTTATCTTTGCCTTTATGGATAAAACAGTCCATCCAAGCGGATAAAATACGCCTCAAACAAGCAATCACACACCAAGAGACCAGTTAAGAGGCTTTTGCAATTCTCCAGGTCAGAGGTGATGTTATCCTGGCCGGGAAGGGTATATATAGAGACAAAACTAGAGAGCTGTTTTGGAGGCAAAACAGATAAAACTTGGCAATTGCTTGGATGTAAAGAGTGCAGAAGAAGGGAAAACATGGATAACTACCCAAATTTGGTGACTGATTGGATGTGAGAGATGAGGAAGAGGGAGGCAACATGGCTAACTCCCAATTTTCTGGCTTGAACAACTAGGGGTGGGAGTGGTGATGTCATTTCCCAAGACAGGAAACACTGGAAGAGGAGCAGATGTGGGAGCAAGAGGTTGGGACAAAGAACGAGTCCAGTTCAGGCTGTGGAGCCTCTGAGACAGTTAGTGAAGATGGAGCAGGTGGGGACATGGATCAAGATGACAGACACTGGACACAAATGTAGCTTTATTAAAGATGTGGGATCTTTGGACCTATGGGGCAGAGTGACATCACTCTGGGAGGCAGAGCACAGAATCAGAGGGCAATAGGGCCCAGGACCAAGGCTTGAGGAACTCCTATAATTAATATTTGGAGAGAAAAGAAGGTTGAGCAAAGGTATCAAGATGGGCCACAGAGGAAGAAACCAAGGAGAGCTAGCTGGGTCCCAGGGGTCAACGGAAGAGAGTAGCCGACTATGACGACTGCTACAGAGAGGCCAAGTGAGGTGAGAAGTTTAGATTCAGCACTACGCACATAGTAGTGACCGGAGAGTGAGCAGTTTCAGGAGATGATGAGTTTGGATTTCAAATGAGGTAATTTGGAGAGTGAGTAACAGGTGAGAAAATACAGACAGCGCATAACTTTTTAAAGAAGCTTTGCTCTAAGGCGGAGGAGATAGCATAATAAATGCAGGGGCACAGGAAGCCAAGGAAATAGCTCTCTTTTTTTAAAGTGCAGACTTGAGCATGTTTAAATGGGAAGAAAAATGATACAGCCAGGGCGAGGTAAGAGAGTGGGACCGAGAGAATGAGATTAATAGATAGCACCAGAGTTCCAAGGAAACATGAGAGAGTAAGATTCAGAGCATAAGTGGATGGACTGACTTTAGATCAGAAGCACATGTTATTTGCTGTGTCTGGAGGGAAGAGGAAAAGATGAGTGAGGACGCAGGTAAGTCAGGCTGGTATGGAAAGTTGAAGCGGTTCCCAGGTGATCACTTCTATTTTCATGGTAAAGAAGGCGGTACCCGGGAGGAGGAGGGTTGAAAGTGAGGAGAGTGGAGACTGTGTGAAAATAGTTTTGGTAGACAGTGACCATGCAAGACAGAGAAAAATGGTAGGACTGAGGATCCAGTAGAAGCTGGTCATCATGAGTTTATAGTGTTACCATCCTGCCCAGCCATGTTACCTTCTCCTGTTTCGTTTTGTTTAATGGTAACAAAATGGTAAGATAGAGATAAGTATGCAGAAGAAAATACAAATTGGCCATAATATGTTGGGTGTTTCTTCCACTGCCCACCACCCCGAGTACACCCCTGAGCTCCCACTGTGTATTCCTTGTACCACATGGCGAGTCCACAAAGCATCATGAATCCAACCACCAGCTGTCTCTAGGGCTGGAGGCCAGGGAAAGAGGCCTTCCTGGGAAGAGGAAAGGCTGAAACGGCTGCTGTCATCTTGCAACTATGAGGAAGAACCAATTAAGAGCTCACTATGAGAACAAATGCTACTGAGGATGGAGAGAACGAGAAATCCAGTCCTGACGATGTTGTCTGAGCCCTGGACCTAGCAGTGCCTGGAGTGATACCCCACCCTTTCCAGTT